GTGGAGGGGGTGAAGGAGGAGGTAGAGGAAGTGAAGGAAGTGAAGGAGGTAGAGGAAGTGAAGGAGGTGGAGGAGGTAGAGGAAGTGAAGGAGGTAGAGGAAGTGGAGGAAGTGGAGGAGGAGGAGGAGCCTAACTCTGATCCCTCTGGTTTGTTCTGGTGAATAAAGTTTGAATTGAATGTTTTAACATCGTCACCAGACTGGAGTTAACCATCGTCTGACTCTCCTGTAATCTGATTACTTGATCCCGGCGGCAGAGGAACTGTTCTCTCCAGAAAACGATGAAAAAGTTCCAGACTGGGTGGAAAAGGAACGACAACAGTTCTCAGAGTTAAAGGACAAAAACAAAGACGGGAAACTGGACAAACAGGAAATGATGGAGTTGATTTTTCCACCTGATTTTAACTTCGCTGACGCTGAAGTCAAACACCTGCTGGAGCAGTCCGACGCCAACAAGGTGAAATTAATTCACATAAAAAACATATTTAAACAACGTTAATGTCAACGAATGAAGAGTTTCACCTGTTCTTCTTCTTTAGGATGGAAAACTGACCAAGGTGGAGATTCTGGACAAACACGAGATGTATGTTGGAAGTCAGGTGACGAACTTTGGAGAAACTTTACTACGACACGACGAGTTTTAGATCTTTTTGTCTAAATTGATTTTAATTGAATGTGTCAAAGTTTCCGGAGACGAGATGAACTGATGCTTTAAAAATGAGTTGATTCATTTTCTGGAAAAACAAGATCGACGAAACAAAAACAGCTGTTTTAGTCCATTTTATCTAAAAATGTTCAACAATGAAATAAACTGCAGAGTAAAGAAAACGTTCATCTGATGAAGGTTCATTTTGTTCAAATGTAAATTAACCGTAGAAACTGAAGACGCTTCGAACTTTAAAGAAACTTCAGTTTCATTTTATTTTCAAACAAACAGAATAATAAATATCTTGTCTTGTTTCATGAGATCAAAAATACAACGAGAGAAATTACAAACAAACAACAACAACATGAAAAACACTAAACAAAACATTCACAAAAATGAAAATATATATTTAAAAGAAATACATTGATGAGTCAACAGGGGGCAGCAACACACAGACAACACAGGCACAAACATGAGGTGGTGTGT